TTCTACATGCCGCTCTTGTGATGAAACAAAATTTGAAGAGGAATAAAACCCAACAACAAACGGGGCAGAGCGTGAGGACCGCGTGGCCTGGCCCCACGCGGGTGAATCGTGTCTTCCTGACGCCACTATGCAGACACTGCGAGCCGAGGCATGGGCCAATCCCTCGCCGAGCCACCTCAGTCCGACCACTTCCGCCGCAGGGCAGACTGCTGGCTCGCGTTTGTGGCACTGACGGGCGGGGCGTTGTTACACTTCACCACGAGGCATCGTTTGAGCTTTCCAGGACAAAAAAAAAAGATAAAACAAAAAAAATACAAAAAAAAGTTAATAATTTTAATAAGAATTCTTTGTAAAACAAAAAAATTCAAAAAAATAAAAAAAAGTTTATATCAAGCCTGTGTTGATGTTTATGTTGTGTACATGCATTGGATACTTGAGTTTTATTTCTGATTGTTTTAAGCGACTGTTTTTTTTCTTGATTCATCGCACAAATTACTCCCTTTTGGTCTTGTGTTTGCAAGATGATTGTGTATGCGGTGAAATGTATGAGCCTCGTGTAACTTTCAACCAGTTTAATACCAATTGTATTGGTTTTTATTTAACCTGGTGGCCGCCCATTGGGATTTTTATTACACTCTACTAGATTCCCGTGATAGAACAGGAACCATTCTTAAATTTAGCAAAATTATGAATTGCTTGAGCACCACAATGTCAGACCCTCTTAATAAAGTCGTCACTCGGTGAGGGTTTCCCAAATACATGACATGATACTTGTGGATAATAAAGTTTGAGTTTGTGGCACTTGAACATTAGGTGAATGTAGCCCTTTTAATTGTGCAGGCAGTATGTTAAAATATTGGTATTTACCTGATCCAATTCACGTATCTTTTGAGTTTTAGGGATCGATTTGAATTAATTGCTTTGAACCCATTCTCCACTAACCGTTAAAAGCCTTGTCCACTCATTGCATTTACATATTTCCCAGTTTTTGAACGTCTCTACCCTTTTTATGAATTATTAATGTTAAAGGAACAGAGAATTGCCATTGACCACACTAACAGGATATTTTTTTTATCTATTCAGATTGGGTGTGCTGTGCTACAGAATGGTGGGATTGGCGAACGCACCGGAGTAATTGCCAAAAGCCTCGAGGAAATCCGAAGATGAACAAGGGAGCCACTGCCGAAAAATCCTCTAGAAATAATACAAGTAAAACAAAGGGATTTCTTGGTACAGCAAGTGTGGACTCTATTCCATCTGTTGCATTTGTATGTGGGATAGAGTGCTGCCCCTTAAAACACGTGTGTTTTATACAGGTGCTCCGGTTTCTCCCAGGTGGATAAAAAAATTGGCTGAAAACATCTCCCTGTGTATTGTAGATAGTGTAGTGTTGTGAGATGCATTTCTGCTGGAATGACACCACGGTGTATAAAAGCACTTCATTATAAATGGCACCTGTTGGATTTTTTTTCCCCCACAGAAAAAGCCAGGATGGAAGATGGGAAAAACGGAGTTTTCTGGACCTATCGAGGTCCACAAGGTCACCCATTGGATTGTCAGTTGGGTCACCTTGAAAGCCACGGTTAAAATATGATTGCATGGTGATGAATATTTTAAAACGAAACGAGTTCATGTGTTGCTTGAGCGTTGTGTTTGTCCTGCATCTCGTGCAAAACAAAAGAATCGTGCTATGTGCATTGGTGAAACCTAAAGGGTGGGCAGATTCAAAATACAGTGATCCCTCGTTTATCGCGGTTAATGGGGACCGGAACCCCTCGCGATAGGTGAAAATCCACGATGTAGGATTGGCCCCCTAGGAATTTCCGTCTGTGTGTGTGGGTACCAGAATGTTTAAAATATGTATATTTATATTTTACTTAAATCTATTTAATTATAAAACCTTAATATTATACACTCTCATACGATACGTATTATGGTGTTCTACACTCACCAATGACAGTAGTATCTTGAGACTTGACTCCAGTAATGACAATGACGACGATGACAGACCTGTGCAGTTCGATTAATGTGATGATGAATGATGATGATGGTGTTAATGCACAGGTATAATGAGGCCTTTAAATCAGTTCGAAAAATCCGCGATGCACTGAGGCCACGAAACTTGAACCGCGAAGTGGCGAGGGATTACTGTACACCGGAAGTTCTGGCATTGTGAACCTCACTAAACCAGCCACCGAGCAATTTATATCCAGATGTGGCCTGTTGTGCCACTTAACAGATTCGTTTTCTCACAAACAGGCAGAGATGACTTGTTTGAGTATTGGAACCGTGCATCCTGGGCCTTGATGCCAGTCGACATTTACATTGGTGCGAATCCCGATCCCATGCATGGGTGTTGTCTATCGGTTACACTTGTAACTGATACCGTTGCCTTTTCAAATTGCTCACCCTGGTCTACAAATCCCTTCGTGGTCTCGCCCCACCATATTTTGCCACGCTTGTATCTTTCTGTGTGCTTTCTCGCCCCCTTCTGGTCTCAATATTTGCCGTCTCTCTTCCTCCTCGCGCTCAATCCACGAAAAAAAAATTAAATAATAGCATGCTATTATTTAATTTATTATTTTTCCTTTATACGTGACTTTACCGAAAGAACCAAAGAATGAAACATGCGCGTGAAGACGCAGAATTGCAATTAGTTGACGAGAGACCAATCGCCCAGCACACAACCCAGATGGCGTACGCTGCATTTACAGAGCACTTGCACAGTGAGTGGCGAATGTGATATGAAGCTGAAAATCAACCAAGCAATGAATGGTCTGAACGGTTTCAAATGTGCGTTCATTGGTCGATAATATATCACTAAATTAAAAAGCACGGTTTTTGGATGCAGCAATTGTGACGAGTGAAATTTCTGGGATAATTTTTTTGTTTTGCCGATAGTTTTTCATCCATGACTTGGCGAAGTCGGCATTTTTTTTGAGATGCACACATATGCAAATACTTGTTACACATTGTTTCTTTACAGAGACCAAGTACACACTAAAACAATTTTTTTGTTTTATTTACCTTCAGCATAGCGGTAAAAAATTTAAAATAAAATATACTTTTCTTAATCCCATTTAAATGGAATAAATAATCTTAAAAGTTAGCACAAAGGAGGTAACACTTTCTGTAAATCATAAACATTGTTTATAAAAATATAGGCTGATACATACTAATAATAAAATGAAAGTGGGCATAATTTTGTGTGTCAACTGTCTTCCATAGTCAAAAAGTTTTGAAAACTTTGATGTTTCCACGTGGGAAATGCCTTGTCCCTTGTACGTTAATACCACAGCGAGACGCTTGTACAATTTTGGTTAAAGTTCACGGTGCTACATTAACTTTTACGTTCTCAAAACTTTTTGACCCGTGTAAGAATGCTTGGGCAATTGACAATATGTATACACGTTGGGATTGGTAACAATGCCTTCAACGTGCGCGCAATGTTCACATGTACCGTATTTATGTAGTGTTGGTTGCTGCGTGTGCAAACCTTTTTTTCTTAATAACGTTTTGGTTTCAAAGTTCGTAAAAATTTTGCCCATAATCCACAAGTTCCGAAAGTACATGCTTTTATCATTATTGACGGGACTCCTCCCTTTTGTGTGTGCCCCGTGCGTTCATGAAACTGCTTTGCCAACAGTACACGCTTAATGCTGCTTTGATTTGAAGGGACAGAAAAGTTTTCGGCGTCACTCGTACGTCCGTGCCATCCACAGAACCGCTGCCGATCGTGAAAACGATTGAAAATGTCGGGTCGCCCACGGGGGAGGTTGCGCTGCCGTGCATCCCTTCTCTCGCCCTCGTTTCCTCTGGATGCATTGGGCTCGCAACCCCGGGGGGGTGGGGGGGGGGTCAATGAAAATCTGCGCACCGAGCCGAACGAAACCAACAACAACACTTGGAATATAAATAAATGTACATGGGTTTTTTTTTTACTGTTTTAAAGGATTTAAGTGAATTCCAAGTGAAAGATAAACACGCTTACCCAACCGGCCCCCCCCCGCCTTCAAGGTCCTTATGCGCTCACGCTTTGTACTTAAAGCATTCAACTTCAGCGGAACTCGTTCAAATGTCGAAAAAAAGTAATTTGACTTTAAAATTACCCAGAGTGCTTATTGCAGGTTTGTGTTGAGGGCCCCCCAGCGTTTGGCCGTTGTCGTGGTCCAACCCTGACATTTCCAATCGTTAAATCGCAGCGTAAAGTGACTGAAGTTAAGAAATATAAATAGCTGGAAAGCGTCCTAAGATTTACCTTGTGCAGGATTCCGCACGGAATGAGTTGAAAACACCTGAAGCATTCACAAGCGTGACTTAACGCGGCAGTGGGGGGGGGGGGATAATAAAAAAAACAGTTCTCTGCGTTAGCGATGAAATGGCATAATTCACCTCTGCGGCGGCGGGGGGGGGGCGCGGGCGCTGTTTGAAGCGCTACATTGATTTGTAAGACCTTAATGCTTACAGTGACTACAATCAAAATAACGAAAAGACACGTTGGACAGCGACAATACTTAAATACGTCTCCACTGCATCAGTGCTGAGCAATGCCGCTGCAAAACAATACGTAATCTATAAACTTAAGACTATACAAAGCATTTTTTTTATTGAGTTCGTATATTTTTTTCTTTTTAAATGTTTTCTTTTGTCTCTCTGTTTACAAGATATTTGTTAAAATATATTTTAATGGCAGTGCTTTGTAAAATGACGATGGTACACAATTTACTTTATTAAATAGGACGTGGTTGCACACCTCCAAATGAAATGAGCCTCTCATTGATTTGATCTACAACAGCACAAGTGAATAATGCTGATTTTTTTTCTTATATATTATCTAGAACAAAATTAAACAGTTACTCAGGACATAGCAAACGAGAAGAAACGTGCTCGCTGTTGACATCGTAGCATGTGATCATGAAACCGATATTCCAACTTGGCAAATATCCAGGCCCAACAATAAATCTGAAAGTAGCTTCATAACGGGAGTAGGTTTTTCTTAACCTTTTTATCCAATTCAACCTTTAGCAAAAAAAAATTGCCAACATTTTCACAGCCGCTGGAATTGTTTAAACATGCAGGGTGTCCATAAAGGGATGCATTTTGAAATTATTCGAGATGGCGGTTTTCATGAGAATATAACGGCACGCGCACACACGAGCTTGATTCTCCTAAACGTCCGTGTCCGCCAGGCGCTGATGATTTTTTTGACGATGAGATTCTGAGATTGCATCTTTGAAGTTGAAAAACTTTTGTCGGTTGTGTTTTTTAAGGCCTCTGTTATCTACTCTTGCAGATCAGTCGAGCATTGCAGCATTTTGGCAAAAGCGCCTTTACGTTTCGTATAACCACAGCACTCAATAACGCAGTCCTAAACTGCCGTGTGTAATTATTTAATCGTACATAATACCTTTATGGACATTGTGATTGTATAGCGGTTGTGTTTTTTTTTTTGCCCTCCCCCCTGCCCATGAAGGACTTCGAGCAAGACACGTGGTTCGGGTGAGTCCCACGTAAAACTTTAAAGGCGAAGGAAAATAAATTGAAAGCAGCTAACACCCCATCTACTCTGCTCTGTTTCACACACACACGTTCTGACTTTACGTTTAATGAACACAGGTTACAGTACTTTCGTGACCTTAATACTGTTTAACAGGAGCAGCTTTAAACATTGAGGCAAAATGTTCATACATTCAGTATTTCCTATAAATACAGCATTGTATGGGTTACCCTTCTTTTTAAAGGAAAACAAAAATTAAAATTCACCGGTGATTCGATTGCATTAATTATACGGTTAGGTGGCGAATAACATTTAGTGGAGCCACGTTAAAAGTCTTCTGCGTTGGAATTTGTCACCTTGCACAAAATTCCGTGTGGTGTTGTCAAGGTTTTAATCGGTAATACTTAAAAAAATGTCAGTTTTTTTTCTCTTCCCTACAAACTTTGAAATATTCCCGAGAACTTTGAGGTAACCAGTAATTGCGACTTTGCCTATGACGTCAATAGTTTATTTTTAAAATTACGAAATTATTTACGATCCTCTGATTTTCCTTTTGTTTTCAGACAACAAAGGATGGGCTTGAAAAGCACTTAAGCAAGCAAAGCTCAGGACTTCCTGCGATTTGGCCCAAGTCTGTTCTGCCTGGCTGCTCTGCAAGCTGGTGAGCGCTTTCACATTCAGGGTAAGTTAAGAGGTTATAAATGTGCAAAGGTTTTTTTTATCTCACAAATCTGTGGAACATACATTTCTGGGACTGAACGCTTGACACAGTTAAAAGTGGAAACTCATCAGGACTGTGTATCCATGATCTGGCAATTAATGGCACACATTGTAGGGGAAGCGTCTAATTTGTATCTCTTTTTTAATCATGCTGTGTTTAAGGGGACATAACAACCTTGAGGCCCTTTATAGAAAATATCAGCATTTCTCTCACTCTTGGCTTATAAGTGGTTATGGTATTTTTAACCCCATCTGACTAAACTGCCACCCCCTTCGGTTGTAAGTGCAGTTGCCTACAGCAACTGGCCACAAGCACAACTGCTGCTGCTACGTTTGCATTTTTTTTTTTACTTGGGAGTGTCTTGGTTGCACGAAGGCAAAAAAAACTGGGCAAAATAGACGGGCCAATGCAGAGAAGACGCTGCGGCGCGTGAACGCTTGCACGTCTGTGTCATACGTTACCTGCGATCCTCCAAAACCTCCAGCACTTTTTGACCCTCCGGCACACTGAGAACGTATGTGCAAACAAATCTCACTTTCACCGGGAGTGATTCCAAGAGAGCAATTTCCACGGTGGTTTGGTGAGATCGTTTCCGAGAAATCAGTACAAAAATCATGTAAAAAAAAAATCCAGATTTTTTTATTTTGTTTATTAATAGCACTGAGCCCAACTCCAGGCCAGTGTTCGCTTTGTCTTGAGTGAATGCTTCGTGAAAGTAAATAAGCCAATGAGAGTCGGGGGTTCCAAAAATAGCACGTTCTTTTAAAAAGCTTCGCTTGGCATCTGTCACCACACAGCACTGGTTACCCAGTGGCATCACACCGCAGTACTTGTCAGTGGAACGCATCGCACCACGTATAATACTGGTCGCCTGGGGCACACATCACATGACGTTAGCACTGGTTACCAGGAGCCTTGCACCACATAGGACTGGTCGCCTTTGGCACTCGTCACCAACAGCGTCACACCACACAGTACTTTTTGTCGGTGGCGCACATCACACGGTGCAGCAATTGTCGTGGGGAGGCGCAGGGCCGGTAACCAGCGGCGTTCCATGACGTTTTCTGTCGGCGGTGCACGTCACATCGCACGTTGGCCGCCTGTGGCGTGCGTCACACCACGTAGTATTGATTGTCCGTGGCGCGTGGCCGTCCCGGCGAGTGCGGCTCCGGCTCGCGCTGCGCCCGCGAGCTGTGGCGCCGCTGGAAGAGCTCGCGGAACCTGGCGGGGTCGAACGTGCGCAGGAAGGTGACGCCACCCTCCTTCCTCCGCTCCGACATGAACACCGTCGTCTGAGACACGCTCCGTTGCTGGGGGAACGCCCCCATGGCGGCGGCGGAGGCGGTGGCGGCGACAGCAGCAGCAGCGGTGGTGGCGGCCGACGGCCGGGTGTGCAGTTGTGGCCGGCGCAGGTCGCCCTCCGAATTCCACCGTTGGGTGCGGGGCGCGCGCATGGGCGTCTGCATCGGGGTCTGGCTACGAACGCTGATCGCCTCTGTCGGGGGGGGGGGGGTGGGGAGGAGGAGGGAACGGATTCGCGGGCAGGATTACAAGGCCAGCATCATCGCCGACGTTCAACGGACAAAGGCGGGGTCACAGGGTGTGGGGGTAAAGGGACTAATTTCATATGTTTCCATGTACACAATGTGGCGGGGAGGGGGAATCGGAACATTCTGTCGATATTTCTCCTGCAGCAGCGCCAGCAGCGCGCATTCATATCAATGCAAAACCATGCCCCTTCAGCTGACCGCAGCGTCCATTACAGCGACTCGATCACAGAAATGGAAGCATCACAAAGAGAAAGGCTGCAAGCAAAGCAACAACAAAAGGAAAGTGAGCAGCCGGAGAAGAAGCCTTTTTCGGGGGGGGGGGGGGGAGGGGTGGTTTGGGAGGAAGACAGGCGGGCGCATGCACGTGCGGACTTACAAATAATCATTAGCTCCTAAGGGGAGGCTGGCATGAGCTTGTGAGTGGATTGGCAAGCGGTGGTTGGCATCGGACACGGGTGAGGCTTTAGTGCCTGCTTTGGCGACGCCTGAAGAGGGGCACAGCACACAACGAGTGGCCTCAGCACGGCCTCGCGTTGCTCTCTCGCCACCCCCCCCCGCGCGTTGGGGACACGCGAGCGAGCGTCTCTCGTGCGAACCCGGGTGTTAGTGCCAGAGACAGGCAGAGGGAAAGAAGGGGGTTAGTGCAAACGGGACTTGCGTGAGAGGGGGGTGGCGCCCGGTTCGGTGGTGCGTCGCACTCGGACCCCAGTTGTCGCAGCTCTGGTGGGGTTTGTTTTGCTGCTGCTGCTGTTGTTATTGTTAACCCGAGTGTCGTCTCACCGCGGAATTAATGCGAGCAAATCGTGGCTGCCGGCCACAGATTATGCCTCCTCCGGGGTACAAACACCTCGCATCCATCTCTCCCGCTTGAGCAGGGCTCACTTTGTGCCGTCATCTCAAACTCAAATACATTGAACGTTTTATTTATTTTCTGGTTGCACATGCTTCCTTTTAATTTGTTTTGGAATTTTTGTCAGGTCCCATCATAATGAGTGGAAGGCCTTGTGCCCGATCCCCTCGCCCTGGGAACTGATGAGGGATTCTACGAGTGTCCACGTCCTGACTCTTACTAATATTTGCCCCGCCCCCCCTCCCCCACCCCCCTTCCATCCTTCAGAAGTGACTTGGACACGAGCTTCTGGTCCCCGCACATGGATTGCCCCTCTGGCTTAAATATATAAAATCGCAAATGCCACTGGCGGAAACAACTTCTTAAATTAGTACCGAATCGTGGCGCTCTTGACATGATGGCAGTTAAGAAATGACTGCTCGCCATGCTTGCTGGATCCTGAAAAGGCGCCCATATCCCCCAGATTGATACCTTCACGTTTTCGAGCTTCGAACCCCGGAGAAACCAGGCGAGGTAAACCCAGCCATGTTTTCGCCCACGCACACCACAGCCCATTGCCTGGCTCTAGTCTGGCTATACAGTCCTTTGATCCTGTAACCCAGCAATGACCCAGAACTGGTACACAAGTCATGAGTTGGCAAAACAACCACCCATTATGCAACCACGCAGGGATTATTTTTTTTTACTTTTTCCATTTTGCCAGCGCTGGGCATCGGTCTGAAAATCAAAAGTAGAATTCGGGTTGCCAGGACGAATGCGACAGTGGCATTCTGTTGGTAGAAAACTACACAATGCCACTGTGTCCGTCACCGGCATTCTAGATCCCCGTCAGCCTTGTCGCCCAGCGTGCTTCACCTCCATAGCCGGGTTTTCCTGGGGAATTTGCGTAAATGTTAGACCTTGGGAGCCGACGCGGCAAGCGACGGTGGCAGCGAGCGGCAGTGGGGGGGGGGGGGGGCCCTCACCTTGCACGCGTGCCACGTAGCGCGACAGCGTGACGCTGTCCCCGATGCCGCCGGACTCCAGCGGAATGGGCTCGGTCTGGAAGCGCTCCAGCATGGCCGCCACGCTGGGGAAGCAGAGGTGCTGCACGCGGCAGCAGCCGTTGTCGCTCACGGACAGCCGCAGGTGCTGGGGTGGTTGTGAGAGTGGGGGGGGGGGGGGGTGGTGGCGGAGACGCAAGGGGGAACGGGACAGAAGGAGCAGACGGTTCAAGTGAGCGCCATGGAACGAGCGAGCGTGCTCTGGTGCTGGGACCCGTTGAAGCTTTGAAGGGCACGCGGGGAAAAAAAAAAATTCGAGCAAGTGGCATCGCCGAGCTAAATTGGTAAGCGTCTGCAGCCTGCAATTTAATTTTGCACGTAGGTGGAAAGAGATCGAGGAAGGTATTTCGGTTCAAGCGTTCTTCACTGTCGAGTGTGCGTTTTCAAACCTGCTAGCAGTGTTCTCGCTGTGATTGGGAGTCGCTTGAAATTCGAGCACTGTGTTGTCAACAATCACATCCCTGCTACATTAGCGATTCCTGGTATCGGCGAACAAGAAACCATTCAACGGACCGTGCTGACCGCAGGAGTTGAACTTGCTGTTTGCCACCCCTGCCCCCCACCCCCTGCCCCCCGCCCCCTGCCTCCCACCCCCTGCCTCCCACCCCCTGCCTCCCTACCACGCCGAGCTTGAGCAAACCTCGTCGGTGATGGCTTATTATTGTCACCATCTCATATTAAAAATAACAAACCCTCACCAACCTTGGCACGGCCCTGGTAGTTGAAGGTGAGCACATACTCCCCGCGCCGCGTCTCGCTCTCCCGCACCAGGAAGAGGCCGTGCCGCTCCTCCCCGCCGGTGAGCACCAGCTGTACCGCCTTGAGGCGCGACAGCGTGCCGTGGAACCACGGGCACTCCGACAGTGGCCCGTTGCAGTCCTGGGCGCCTGCGGTGACACGGGGGGGAGAGAGGGTGGGGGGTAGACAACGCAACGGGCATCTCTGTGAGCGGACGGTGCGAGAGAGATTACGCCCATTGCAAGAGATGGGGGCGGGGGGGGAGGCCCGATGACCGCTATCGAGTGCACAGGCGGTGCAATTACGCTGGGGTCCACAGGCCAGAGGGGCCCAGGTGACGGACTATGAAGAGATGCAACATTGGACGAAGGGGGGGGGGGGGCGCGTTTGCGCCTACCAAGCCATGCCAACGGCGGTGAGACCCACGTGCGGGGGGGGGTAGGGGGGCCTGTGGCACCCGTGTGGGTGATTAGCACGGGGAAAAGTGACACTGTGTCGCCTAACGCAACCCCGTGCCAGTTTCTGCGTACGCTGCTCCCTCCTGCCATCTACGTTGCGTCACGACGTGCCGTGGGGGGAGTCTCTGGGACCCGGGTCGGTGGCTTCACGAGCTTCTAGATTTTCACGTTTCCAAGTAAAACGAACGAACGGGTGCAGACTGTCTGAACTCGTGTAATGTGGGCAGTGTGTTTTTATTACAATTTAATTTTTCCATTTAAAAGCCGGCCCCAATGCAATGCATGCAGGCGTTTTGTGGGTTGCCAGACATTGGCTGATTAGTCATCGCGCTGAGTAACCTTCACACCCGGTTGCGGGGCCCTTTGCCACTCTCGTAAGCCTGAAAAAAAGGCCTCTCCGCGAGTCTCCTCCCCTTACCAACCGTCGCTTTTTCTTCGGCCACCCTTCTGTCACCCATCCCACAATGGCACAAAACCTACAGTGTTGTGGATTTTCTTCAAACCCCCCGCCCATCTGCGAGATGATCGCTCGCGTAACTCTTTGCAGCGCTTTCGTAGCCGCGGCGAAAACCTCCCCCCCCCCCCACCACCGTGCGACACGTGTGCGTTTGTCGCGTGGGTCTGTCTGGCAAGGATTAAAATTTAAGGTCAGATCTTTGCCGTCGTGTTTGACAGGCCGGGTGGGTGCCCTAAGGTAGCGTCGCCTCGTTTGCGACACTCCCGTGCGTGACGCAACACCACGGGCGTTCGCCGGGAAACGCGATAAGAATCCGACACGTACGTCCGTTCCTTATCACCTTCGCATTTTGAATCCAGAAGCGATTGCGGCACATCGCCGCCGCAGGGCCTGGCGTGGGCGTTTGTAATGTGTGCTTTGGGTTTTGATCATCTGCACGTTTCTGCTGTTAAAAAAAATATTTTCCGGGGCTGCGTGCCAACGCCATAAGCAATCGTACACCAGCTATAGAATGTATTACTTCAATTAATGTTTTATCCACAGTGGGATCGTTGTCATCATCGGCCTGCGAGATACCGGCACATGGAGCCGAACGTTTTGTGTTCCAGCATAAATATTGTGGATGTTGTGACCAGGGCAGCATATGGCGACCTCCGAAAAAAGGAATTGCGATCTGCCTATAAGAGCCAGTACAGCAGGTAGGTTAGACAGTTTTCTCTTTGTCACCCCAAGTCCCTCTCCTGCGCACAAGATAGGTACTGAGATTCAGAGATGGTTCATGAATAACCATATTATCGCTCTATCATCGTCACTTTTAATCAGTACGTTATCGAGCGAAGAGAGGTGACAGCTTTTAAAGTGACCCCTGAGATAAAACAGAGTTAATGGCCCGTAAAAAAAGGCATGTCACAGAGTTTTGTTTTGAATCGTTCAGTTCTGAAAGCCGCTCTTGGGGTTTTTTCCACCCCTCTGTCTCGACGGCGGTTCGAGCGACGATCAGGGGAAATTCCACTAGCAGTGGCGCTCGGAGAATTCTCCCACGTCAAGCCGCGCAGGCGGCACGCACGATTGTCACGCGGGACCGAGGGGTGGGGGGGGAGTCGCAACGCAGAGGCTCGTGATCTCGGGTTCGTTCTTCGTCATTCTTCCGCCCATCGCTCTCTTCCCTCCTTGGTCACAAGCGCTGAGAGAACGTTGCTGGAAGCACGGACGTTACGGTTTCTTCTCGGTTCCTCTGCCGCTTATTTATTGTCAAATAATTTTAATGGCAACGTGAGTAAACGGTCATTCATTTTGCCAATAGAGGACTGCAAAGCTTGGGCAATTGGCAGCGCCGGCTCACCCGCCTGGCTGCTGCCTTGCGGCTCATCAGTGGTTTCTTGGCGATTGCGAGATGTAATTTGCATGAATGACGGAGTTATTTAAATATAAAACGAAAACATTAAACATTTCCACGAACTTGCTGCTTAGCCAGAACTCTTTGACTTAATGTCTGTCAGCCCAAGGGTTCAATGCGCAAAATAAATAGAACGCTAAACAATAGGGTTTGTACAAACACAAAAATAAACATGAGCGGTTCGGGAAAACATCAAGTTAATTTCGCTGGAATTCCGCTCGGGTTTGTACTTTTACCAAACCATCATCCTCCTGGGCTTGAAAGCCGCCCCCTGTGTTGCTCATGAGTTGAACGATGTGCACGCATCTGTATTCTGAGCGTTATTGATGAATGTCTGCTGAAGCTAGTATGCGAGCATCCCGTGTCTGACTGAGTGACAAAGTCAATGAATAAATGAGCGAATTAATGGGCGACAGTAAAGCAAATATTAGTGAGTGAGTGATTGAGTGAGCGAACGGGTAAGCGAGCATATGAGTGAGCGGGTGACGGAAGGAAGAAGCAACAGTGATTGAGAGTCATTGAGTGAGCGGGTGATTGAACGAATTAAGCATTCGCACAAGAGAGCGAATAACACACATTTTAGAGTGACTGGAGGGTGACTGCAACTACGCAAGCTAGTGACCGAGGGAGCAAACAAGTGTGCGAGCGACGTGCGGGTGAGCAAGCGTGCGAGCGTCGCGCGGGCCGGTGCACTCGCCTGTCGCCATGCTCGTGTCCATCGCGCCGGAGGCGATCATGGGTAGGAAGTGCGTGGGCTCGGGGCCCTGGCCGTGCACGGGCGCCCGGGGTGGCACCTCCGGCGGGACGCCGTCCACGAGGCCAAAACGTGAGCCGCCGCCGCCTTCCCCGTCGAGGCTGCGCGGGCGGGCCGTCCTGTGGCTCCCGGAGCCACCCGAGTGCTGCAGGCCTGAGCGAGGCACACGGCGGAGAACTACGCGGTGACGGGACCGTCCCTCCGACGGGAGGGCGTTAGACATCGCCGGCAACGAGGTGGGCCTTGTATCCTCAGCGAGGGATTCTCCAAGCTCGCAACACTGACCCCCCCCCGGCTAAATGGTCGGTCTTAAATACCACTCTTGAAATTCGACCAAATCGAAGCGATGTGTTCAATGAAACAAAAATCCACATCGCAACAAAAATACGCATCTACGCTTTAAAAGAATACAGAAGGGTTGGGACGTTCGCTCGACCTTAACTGTATTAACTATACATGGTGGCGCATTAAACCCGCGCACGGTTCACCCCGCTTTGTGCCGGGAAAAAAACCGACGAGAGCTGCGCTCTGTGGGTGGAAGTTTAGAAGCGTTTACAAAAACCCCGGCCGTTTTACCTGGAAAAACCCCCGGTTTTGAAACTCGGCCAGCGGCGACCGAATGGCAAACAAAAGCCCGCTGCCTAGAATCGATAGGGACAGCGAGAGCCTTTCTCAGAAGTGCCATTTTAAATGCTATTTTAACCCATTCCGGCAGCCTGAAAGCGCAAGTTGAGCGGCTGAGCTGAGTTTCGTCCCGCCCGCTGCCCCCCCACCCCGCCCGCCCGCCCGCCCTTCTCCCTCGTGGTACAAGTTGCTCGTTGATCAAACGGGAAGCGAGGGAGGCGAGGGCCTCGGTATCGCCCGCGTGCCCCCCCCCCCGTGTGTTTTTTCGCGCCGCGGATTCTGCGACGTCGCGTTGCCTCGCTGCAGTTCCTCGCCGTGGCGCTCGCACGCGGCTCACGGGGGAGTCGGCTGGAAGGGACGCGCGAGCGTCGCCGGCCACCGCAACCTAGCACTTGGCTTGACGTTGAGAAATATTTAATCACTTTTTGATAAAAAATCAAAACCGATGTCAAGGTTTCGGTAGTTTGTGTTTTCCCCCAAATAACTTAGAAAAGCCAATTAGTAACCCTTACGCTCCTGACGTTCAGGTGAACTGTTGGAAACCCGCTTGCTATGCTGCCTGGCTCGTTGTACAAAGGGAGACCTGGTTTCCTCAATTTGAGGCCCCGTAAACTGAAGGGTTCGCGATGTTTGTACTAGCCATGTAACGATCGTGGATAATAATCAAGACAGTGACTTGAGTTTGATCCAACATTCAATCGCGCGCACCGGGCATCGTATATTATTTAACAACTCACGCGCACCGTGGTAATACCGTGCGCTAGTACGTTGAGGCTAATGGTGCGAGAGTGAAACGGAACAAAAACGATCGACGCGGTAACATTCTCGGGTAGAATCTCCTTCCCGAACAATCACGGCAAATCGAATCGCCGGGGCAGGTGGCGGTGGTGCGACCCGTTTGCGCATCGGTTGCGCACCTTGCGTCGATGCGCTCATGTCGGACGAAATTCTGTGGATGGAGTTGTCGGAGGGCGAACTCCCGAGCGCCTGCAGCCTCGTGCCCTCGTTCCTGAGCAGGGGGAGACACGGCGGAGGGGGACGGTGAGACACGTCGACCCCGAGGGGGGTCATAGCAAACCCCCCCCCCCCCCCGCTGCTTGCTCCTTCATTCATTCCTTCGTTCGTAATTTGTTTACAACACGATCAGCGTATGAAATGATCTTGACGGTCCGAATGGTGAAATGCGAAACAGAGTTTGTTCAATATAATTAAAACAAAAAAATTACACAACGAAATAATAATTAATAAAAATCATCAGCAAGAACACATGGCACACGCACATGCTAGGGGTTGTGATGCGATACTGTTAACTGGATGCGGGGCAAAAGCGGTAGCGCAGTGCTTAGTGTGCTGCGCTAAGAACCCACCAACCTGAGATCTATTCCTATCGACTGCGAACAAACAACAATGTTCCACCACCACCACTGAGCGCTGACTAGCTTAGCAAAGTGCGGTTGTAGCAATTCTTTGATTGACGTGCCACAATGAGACCCTCCCTGATCCAGCAGTGGATTGACAAAGTGCTGTAAATCCAGATGCGGGGCTGCTCAGTTGTGATTTAGTAAAAAAATTTGTTTGCGAGTGGCGTTAGTGATTTTCGCCGTGAGCTGCGTGTAACATTACCCCCGGCGTTAGCACCAAAAAATGGGTTTTTAAATTGCGAGGCAGCAGCTGCTTCGGAGGATGTTTGTTCTACCCCGCCACCCCCCCTGGATGTTCGCACGGTGACTCGTAAAACCAGACTTTGCACCAAATCCGAGCTGCCCTTTCCAAGCAATTTACAAACGTAAACGCCCTCAAGCAGTGAGTCACAACGACGGTGTGGGGCTGTGCGACGCCGCTCACACATTTTGGAAGAGACACTGCAGGGGTAGAATAGGGTGTTTGGGTGGGAGTCGGAGAGGGACAGCGGTTGTCGAGTGAAGGCCGGGTGGCGTTCAACTCGGCGGGGGGGGGCTGGTGGGGGGGCTGGTGGGGGGGGCTGGTGGGGGGCTGGTGGGGGCTGGTGGGGGGGGTGGTGTGCCTGACGGGGCCCATGGGGCCACGTGGTCCGGAGCCACTGGCGCCTCTCCAGAAAGCGGCAGTCGTGGTTTTTCGTGGCGGGGCTGAAATCCCACGTGCGGTTCCAGTGACCCCATGTAAAAAAGTGGCCGAATTTTTGTTGGCACAGCGTAGCAACGTGGCTGTTGTTGTTGTTGTCGTTGTTCCTGATGTTTTGTTTTGTTGTTCGTGGTTATGATGATGATGATGATGTTGTGATTGTTGTTCCTAATGTTGCTGTTTATTATTGGATAAAAGTCTATAGTCGCGGTTGGATTGGGCAACACTTGTCAAACGCAACAATAAAAAATCCAGCAGGGTAAATCGGTGAGAAAGTAAAAAGAAATGCTCACGAATTAAGTTTGGCAGACTGAAATTAAATTAAATGCGCTGAGATTTCATGCTAAGTCACCTATCCCTTTGCAGTTTTCAAAACCGGTTCGTTGATCGTATTTTGGCAGTAACCCTGCAACTAATCGCGCAGGACGATGACCTCCAGTGACAGCGGCGACGTGTGCTCTAATTGGCCAGGCAGCCGATCGCGTGGCCTCCGCCTCACGGCTCCAAGATTCAAGGTGGCTCCCGGTGAAGCTCTCCTGCTCTGGGGAGCGGTGGGAGGGGCATTCAGAGGGCATTCTAAAGGGCAAGGGGAGAGGGCAAGGAGAGAGCGTTTGCAGGAGCGGAAAATCCGTCCACGGCGGTTTATGGGAGTGTTGGATTTTATGGGCCCTGGGCAGGTGTCAAAGGTGAAATATTTTCGGAACTTTCAACCTCATTCAATGACGAAGTTTCAAATGAAACCTCATTCATTGCAAATAAAGTGGTCATGCGTGGGGGGGGGGGGGGGAGTTCTCTGGTAAAATACAAATATACAGAACCACAGATTAGCCCCTCCGTTACATAGACGTGATTGGTTTATGGAAACGCGACCGATTCCTGGAAACCTTGTAGCCACTATAGATTCTAGACGCACCACAATGGCAAAAAAACATTTAATTCTTGGACGTAAGTCGAGTCCGTGAATCGTGACAATTCTATGAATTGTTGTTGTCGGGGGGGGGAGGCGGATAGGGGGAGATGATTGATTACATAAACGGCGATGAATGTCCTGCATTCGCGTCGACAATTACTGGCGAGGGAGGGGAGGGAGCAATGGGAGGGAGGAAGCGGGTGATGGTGGGAGCGACCGAGTGAGGATCGATTAGTGGAGCGGTGTTCCACACTCACCCAAGCCGCAAGCAATCCTTAATGTCGGCCAGCCATGAGTGCATCTGCAGAAAATCAACCGTTTCCAGGATGTATTCCATCGAATCCCTCGTCTGCAATCAACGACACACAAACACACGCATCAGCCGTTAACCGCTGTGACCTTTCAGAGTAATAATATTTGTGTGCAACAGCAGTGACTTGCAGCATCAGCATTTCTGGTTTTGGAATGTGTGCGAGTGTGTGTCTGTAGGTGAGTGGACGAGTGCATCTCATGCACGAGCAGCACGATTGTGGCTATGCAACCCAAGCTGTGGACAGTATATAGTAAACCAAGGAGGAAGAATAACACTACACGAACACTCAACTCCTGAAGCCCTCTCGTGGATGGCAGACCTCGACATTGGTATTTAGCTGCTGAACGCATAGTGAGTAAGTGAGTGGACGAGTGCCCGAGCGAGCAATTGTTTGTACGAACTGTCTATCGGCGTTGGGCTGAGCAAGCCAAGGCACGGGGCAGCGTCCTCAACCGCTGCAGCGGGAGGGGAGGCCGTCTTATCTGCACGACTGCTTGCGTGTGCAAAAAAAATACAAGTTCACAAATAGTCCGAATGGCTTCGGGCGAAGGCTGCTAAGACATGCACTGATATACTAATGGCCATTGTTTGTTTTTTTGCCATTGCAAACCTCAACGACGAGACCCCAAACTGGGGAATGCTGCCATAAAATTTCTGGACAAGTGGGGGAGAGAACACAAAAAAACCAAGACGACTACACGAATGCTCGACAGTGCACGCAGCGAGTCTGCCGACTGCGCAAGAACGCTACAAGCGAGACGTCGTTTACCCGCGTAATTGTATCCTCTTAAAGCGGTAAATAAATATTCAAGATGCTTCGCCACAGGCGACATTATCTCTACGGTTTCACAGCCCTCTCCGCTGCTGCTGCTGCTGCTGCAACAACCAAACTCGTTCTACAAACTACTTGAGTCGGCTTCACGCAACCTCCGCAAGCCTTCAAATGGAATCTCGGGAGGGTGACAGGGGAGGGGGGAGGCTGGGGTGGAGTGCCAATCCAACACGTTGGGCAGTGGGCTCGCTGGCGGCTGATGTAAGAGGCACGGGACGTGACAACAGAATGAGCGACGCCACGCGATGACCACTGATTGGGCCTGGCAACCCCCACCCTTCCCACCGCCCCTGACTCCCCCACAAACGCTCTCAAGCTCGATGCCCGTCAACCAAACTGAGGCACCGAAACGACCACAACGCATTCACAATAAAAGTGTAAAGATGAGGGTTACGCATTCCAAGTCCCGGTTGAGTCTCAAGATCTCTCCCTCGAGGGACCTGACTTGGAACATTTGGCCAATTTCGTGATTTGGGTATTTTAGTTCCTTCACGGGGGAGGAAACCGGAGTTGCCCGGAGGGGGGGGCACCGAAAATTCCGTGCAGATATTACGGGCTTGCTGGCATCCTACTTTCTGTGCCGCAATTCCCACCGGTACGCCTCGTGTATATCTCCGCTGGTGGCTGTTTTTCACGAGCGTGCGACCCGCAGCACGATCCGCCAACACAAGGAGCTGGGCACGCCGGCGGCTTCCGCCGCGACCAAAAACACGTGTCCAAGCTGCCCTAAGTTTTGCCGTTGCCAAGAAAACAGCGGCAAACAAAATCTAAGCAAAGCGGCCGATAAATCTGCATTTCCAGGCGGTGGCGTTTATTGCCTTGAGTGCGATGGGGGGGGGGGGGCGCCGGCTCCTCGAATCTTACAGACGGCTTGCGTGTGGGGGGAAACAAACAAACATCAGCTTCTGCAACTGCAACTTACGAACGGGGCCACCTCGGTTCGATTCCAGGCCGTGGTTAACATGGGCGGCAAGTGATACCAGAACTTGTCTTGAACTGCCGCCCCCCCCCCACCCCACCCACTGAGAGCCCCCCCCGCAATCATCAAGCTGCAGTGACCAGCATGGTGAAGTATGGTCAAACAATTAATCCCGATGACTGGCACAGAGGGGACACCATCAACCAGCAGTGGAGTGATTGGCAGTAGTTGTTAATTGCGCATGAAGTTATATTTTTAGCATCTGCCTGCACAGAGCGAATGATGGGCGGTGTTCACCTCCTTTGGCAGCCCCGGGCCAAGTGGTGGAAATTCCACGTTATTATGTTCAGAAAATGCCTGTGAAATGTTCACCCAATGTTCACCGTTTAAGCCCTCCCCAGACCACCACCCCCCCTCCCACCGACACAAAGACTCCATTTTATTTTACGTTACCTCGATTTTACTTGCATTTACAGAACTATTCCCGACTCTCAACACAAAAATGAGAAGTATGGGAATAGGGCTTATACATTTCTAAAACCATTTAGGATTAGCGCGGTGATCGTGGCTTTTTGTTTTTTACACCCAAGTCAAAGTTCATAGGTCATGGAGAGCTCATCATCATTACCATAGGTTCCTGGTTCCTTCCTGTCTGAACAAACCCTGACACATCTCTGCTCTGCAAACAATAGTCAAGCAAGTTCTGTGACCGGATGGACTGACGCACAGACAAACAAAGTTTCTGAACAATGTGGACATGGGAAACCAGTCTCTGTGCAATAGAAGCATTGTTGACTTTACTGTGCGCGCACCATGTGTTACCGCGCACTCCAGATGGTACTCATTTTATCAACCCTAGAGGGACGACGACGATTGATGATGATGACAATGCTGGGGGGCCGAGCCGACCCTGACCAGGGTTTAAACTCACGATTTCGTGAATTTAGGGGGGACGGTGGGGGGGGGGGCCTGCACCCTCCACCAACTTGAGCTGCACATCTGCCAGCAAGGGCGCTCGGCATTGGTTAGCGCTTCTCTCGCTAGAAGTGTCATCTTGAGTATTATTATTGATATTATTGTTACTGGGGTGCGTGTTCTGGTTGAGGCAGGCGCTGTGTCGTAACGGCGGTACAGTCCGAGAGAGCGGGAGAGCGGGCGAGCGAGCGAGCGAACGCTCCTGTAATTGTGTAAACATTCATGCCGCGTTCTGCAGCGAGAGATAACGGTGCCCCGGGCAGCACAGCAGCATGGCAGGCTCCGTGGCCGACTCCGCCACCACCACATTGTGTTTATTTCACAAACTCGCCTACCCGCTAAAAAAAAACCACCGTCCCATCTATTCCTGTCTGAAAAAAAAAGCATTTGCCATCTTGACAGACAACGCTGGTATTACTGCTGTGTAGCCCTTCGCCATGGCGCTGCACAACTCGCTCCGATGCGTCACGCAAGTCCTGGCGAGGAGTTCTCATTTTATCCCGAATCCCCGTTGGCGGAGTGCGTGGGTGGAAACGATTAAGAGGACCCGCACGGCACTTTATTTGGTCTCGGTTTCCTGCCGTTTGGACAGCTCGGCGACCCCCGGATGGGGACTTGGCGAATGATCCTCCCCCATCTCCACATCTGTGTCTCTCCCGTGTCTCTCTCCGTGTCTCCTGAGGACTGCGGCGGCATCCAAATTAAAACAACTCCTCGTGTGTCCTGTCGCTGGCCGAGCCGCAGGCATGGCCGACTGACGCTCGCGGATGTTTTCAGAGCATGCGCGTATTTAAGTTTATGGGGTTTTTTTTTTTAGATGAAAAAATATATATTTTGGAAAAAGTCAACGGTTTTTGTTTGGGGGCTCTCGTCCAAACGGCGATGGATTAATTTCCTCGTAATGTAATGCTTGCAATTTTTTTTTACTTCCTCTCTCTTACCACATGAACATATATATATATATTTCGGATTGCTACATATGTTTAATGAAAATACGTAAAAAAAAACATTGAGAGTACTATTGCAAAAATGTAATTACTATAACTATATACTGCAAACATGTGATTTGCATTAGGTCCCTTGGTATAAGGTTCAATCTCCAACTCTTATTATCCACTCTACCTCTCTAGCCTCTCTAAGTGCCATGAAGAAGGGCCATTGTCTAAAACGTCACCTGTTATTTACTATTTCAAGGCCAAGGTGTTAGTGACTAATGCGTTTAGTTTTTTTTTACATACTAGACATCAGACTCAAGAGGTTGGTGGTGGTAAGCGAACGAGGTTGTTATGTGGGAAGACGACTACGAAGGCAGGTTCGTAGATAGGTAGGTTAAAGATAAGTTGGTGGGCAGGTCGGATTAATGTTGAATCCTAAGGCTCACAATGCATGCATTGTTACCGTATTTTGTAAGCGTCGTTGCCTTTCAACTCTTGCGTGGCAAACGCCGTGGGTTCACGTCACCGGTGCAGCAACGAGCGGCCACAACGATCGCCAAAAATGTTCAAGGATCACTCCACGAAACGAATCGTGCCCCGAAAGACCATCGCTCTCGTTAGTTTCCACATTGCCTCCCTGCGATCTCCTGTGACTGCCACCACTGCCCACAATCTTGGGCTGTGGTCGTCCTTGTAAGAGTGCCTCGTAGCTCAATGGGCCTCACCAGCTGGCATAATAAAGCCTGAGTCTGAGGGTGTCCATGTAACTCTATGAACCTCTATGCAATTCTACGACTCTAGATTTGAAGCTTTCGTGACTGCAAGGATTCATATTCTTAGGTTTTTTCGGTAAAGTTACGTAGGTAAAAAATTGTAATTAATAAAAGTAAAATAAAAATAAAATAAAAATCACGATGTTTCGGAGGCAACACAAGCTTCCGTCTTCAGGCGGAACTGTCACGGCTTGTGTTGCCTCCGAAACGTCGTGAGTTTATTTTTATTTAACTTTTATTAATTTGAATTAAAAAATTTTACCTACGTGACTTTACCGAAATAACCTAAGAATATGAATTCTACGATTCTCCAAGTAACTCTGTGGATCTCTATGCAGCTGTGTAACTCCAATGCCCTGTGGACTGCCACCGCTGGCAGCGTTCTTGGGCTGTGGCCGTCCTTGCAACAAAGCTGCTGCTCGGCTCAACGGGGCCTCACTGGCTGACGTAACAAAGTCCTGAGCTCGACCGCGAACGTGACGTGCCCCCCTCTTTGTACCGGGTGGCTCGGCAGTCCATACGCAGAGGGGTAGGGAAAGGCCCCGTTGAGACAGCACGTCTGTCGAAAGGAGTGGGGGGGGGGGGGTGCAGGGAAGCGAGAGCGCGCTGGGAGGTGTGCGTGGGGGGCGGGTCAGCACCTTCGTCCGCCAAACTCCCCGGGAGTTTCTTTGCTCCCCACCCTCGCCCTACCGAGGTTGTCCGAGGCAAAGCGACAAACCGGGCACGGCCGGCGGAAGATGCTCCCCCGCATCAACCAGGCGATCATGCAGGCGGGGAGAAGGGCTGGTGGACCACGGGGAGGAGGGGCGATGGACGATCGTCATGCGATCCGGCGGAACCGGGTTCCGTGTGGCCGAGCGTCGCAGTGGCCGAGGAGGGATGCCGTGCCGATTGCGCGTCAACGCGGTTGCGCGTGAATTACGCGAGCGGAAGGATCGACGTTCGAAAAACAAATTCCTACCACTCCGTTGCTCATGGACAACTGGACCATGAGAGTGCGCGTTCACGTGAACCGTGCACGTACCTGCGTGCGTGTACACACGTATGTGACACACGCGTGGAGTCTATACTGTTGTTGTCACACCGGTTTCTCTAAATAAGGGGACTTTCTGTCTCGTTGGGCTCTTGACCGGCTTCAATAAGGGACTCGTATGCCTGGCTCAGTGCTACATGTGTCCATTCTGCCTATTCCTACCCGCATACCTAAACCAACAGGGTCTGTTCCACTGCGGTGGCGAGATGTTAACTACCTCGTCTGGTGTGCAGGAGGTCGTGGGTTCGATCCGGACCCTGACGCCTGCTGCTGTAAATTTCCACACGATGAGCCACTTCGTTGAGCTATCATTTGTGGCCAGGTCGCTTCTAAGAAAAAAAGCTCACCACTCCCTCAAGACAGCGAACCTCGCCGCTCCGCGCGGCCTCAGGAGTGAATCCAGACCCGGCAAAGGAGCGAAAGCGACGTCACTACCGCCACCAACGCCACCGCCGTTTGGTGGCGAGTGACGGATGGAGTTCAGTTTGCTCAAATTCTGCGCATTCGCTGTCGAGTCACAAATCCGCCCTGGCCAACGTGCACGTTCAGCGAAAACCGTACTTTCGTTCCGCCGCAGCTGTAACCCACAGAGGTCATTTGTTGCTGAGCCAGCAGCGAGGTCGCAACCTCCGGGGGGGGGCATCTCACCGCAACGATTGGGCCCCCCCCCCCTCCCCGTTCTTGCGCCACTCTCGGCGGCTACGTGACGGGGAAGCGGTGACGTCCGTCGGCGGAGCACCGGAATAAATTAATTGAAAACGCTTAATGAACGTAAGAAGCGCTTCTGCTTTTAAGCGGCGCGTAATGAAACGGGTTGCGTCTGCGTGCGTGCGTGCATACGCGCTTGTGGATGTGCGCTAAGTAATTAATTAATCGTGCCTGCCCGGAGACTTGTGAAGAGCGACATGCGAGGGTTTCCGGCGCGACTATCTCGCGGCGTGCAGACGACGCGTGGTTTCCTGCCACCGCCGTGAGCACAGCCCCAGGCCGTATCGGTCGCGACACTGCCGAGTATTTTCGGCAGCGCAAATAGAACCCTTCTGGGAATTTGAGAGGCCCTTTTTTTTTCATGTGCAGTGTTTTATCAGCTAGAACGACTTTCCTGTTCATATGTACAATGGATTTTTTTTTTCTTCTCTCTCCTTTATTTTCTCTCCCCTATTTTCCTTAACAACAAAAAAAAAGTCACGCTAACTCGGTCCGCTTTGCCGCGAAAGGCCGATGTGGCGCTGCCAAGTTTGCACTCGCCGTGCGATGCGTTTTTTTTGTCCACGGCGCGTACATGCGTACGTTCGTTCGTGAGTGGGTGCGTGAGTGAGTGCGTGTGTGAGTGAGTGAGTGCGTGTGTGAGTGATTGGGTGCGTGAGTGAGTGGGTGCGTGAGTGAGTGAGTGATTGGGTGCGTGAGTGAGTGAGTGGGTGCGTGAGTGACCGAGCGGGCGAGCAAGTGAGCGCGGCGTCGAATGCTAGGAATGCTGTTACTGAAAATGAGAAGGATCTGTAAAGCAACGTTGTCAACCGCATCCCCTTGTGCATCGCTCGAATCGTTCTCTCGCTGCCGCCCCTCTGTCCAGCTTCACCCCCCGCCCCCCCGTGCCCCCCCCCCCCCCGCGCCTCCTCTACCCCGTGTCTGGCCGCGTTTCTCTGCGACGTGCGTCCGGGATGTGTCCGAGACGCGCGACGTTCACCGGTAATGAACGCCGCCACCACGTTGGCGAGACGCACACCGGGTCCTGTCGTCCCGGTGCAGGCCTCGGTCAAAAGCGATTGTCGCCATTTTCGTGTGTAATGAATTGTGATTGTGTCATCTGTTATGAATCGTGTTTTTGGTGTCATCTCTCTAATGGATTGTGATTGTGTCATCTGTAATGGATCGCAGCCGCAATGGAACTGCGCTAACATTGCTGCTGTAACTGCACTAACTTTCACTGACCCCCCCCCATGTCTCTCTCCCCGTGCATCTCCCCGTGTCTCTCCCCGCGTCTCTCCCCGTGTCCTCTCCCCGTGTCCTCTCCCCGTGTCCTCTCCCCGTGTCCTCTCCCCGTGTCCTCTCCCCGTGTCCTCTCCCCGTGTCCTCTCCCCGTGTCCTCTCCCCGTGTCCTCTCCCCGTGTCCTCTCCCCGTGTCCTCTCCCCGTGTCCTCTCCCCGTGTCCTCTCCCCGCGTCTCTCCCCGCGTCTCTCCCCGCGTCTCTCCCCGTGTCCTCTCCCCGCGTCTCTCCCCGTGTCCTCTTCCCGTATCTCTCCCCGTGTCTCTCCCCGTGTATCTCCCCGCGGGCCCCCGTGACCCCACGTCATGAAACGAGGATGCGTGGAACGCACCTTGAGCACGAAGGTGTTGTCCTTCTCGGGCATCTCCAAGGGGTTGGTCTTGCGCACCTCCAGGATAGAGGAGCACAGCACCGAGATCTTTGCTTTGCTCGACTGCAGGACACAGCACGAGGGTCGGGGGTGGAAGGGGGAGGCACGAGGCAGGTTCACAGCGGCCGTGCGTACAGGTGTGGTATGCGGGTGTGCGTGCGGCGAGCGCGCGCGTCGGTTGTTAGTCACAGGCGTACCGCGCGATGATCCCAGCGACCCGAGTTTGATTCCCGGGAGACACAGTCGAGCACCGCGGGTATCTGGTGCAGTGGGGCGCGTGAAGCGTCGGCGTTGGCGAGCGTGGTGCAGGCCACACGACGATTCCCCATCACGGTCACAAGTAAACGAAGTACGGTCGAGCAACTCCCATGACCGACGCAGCGCCGGGAGGCCTTCATTGAGTAGTTGGGTTGACAAAGAGCCGTTTCAAATTAAAATGGCGTGGCGGCGGTGGGGGGGGGGGGGGGGGGGTTATGCGAGTAAAGAGGTAATAATCGTGATCAGCCAGGATCAATCCACTGCTAGAATGAAAGCCGCCCAAACCCCCGCCAAGCCATCATCGCCCTTCATCGTCTCGTCGCGAAGAGCCGATTCACGGGGCACCTGTGCACGAGCCGATATAATCGTTAGGCGGCAAGGAGAACGTGGGGGCCGCCTGGGTGAAGTGGGGGGGGGGGGGGTGCTTGTAAGCTCCCCCCCAACCCCCCCTCCAAACGGAGCGTTTCTTCCCGCACACGATGATTATCGTCGCTGTTCATTTTCCGTAATAAGGGCAACAGAGACCCGCGGTGCGGCGGTTAAAGAGCGTCGATCGGGTGTCGCCTCCGCTGTCAGCTGGCCGGAGCGCAGCTTTATTGACTCCCCCCCCACCCCCCCCCCTGTCTGCTTCGAATTTCCCATTTTGCTCCAGAAAATCTCGCATATTAAAATGTTTTTCTTCCGAAAACTCTTTTCTCACGGCGTCGCTTTCTTGCACGCACCGACGCATCTTTATAGCTTCCTCCGTATCGTTGTCGTACATTTTTTTTTGGCATCTTAACCGTGTGGGGGGGGGGGGCGATAAAGAATTCCTTTTTGTTCAAAAGAGGCACCCAGCGAACGACGGCGGTTTGGCTGCATGATGCCCTAAAAATGTATTTTTACGTCCACCTCGATGTTACCGCCTTTATCTCGAGGAGACCTCTAGAGAGAGAGCCTCCAGAGGGAATTTTGGCCAAATGTCTCGTAAGAGATGGGAGGGCACCCACACTTTGCCCCACCACACGCGGATCCCGCCGACCGATCCACCGACCATGGTGTACACATTCATACCGCCGGGCGCACAGAGGCGGGGTGGGGGGGGGGCGGCGATTTTCCGAAACTCGCAAGAATTGTGGAACCGTGGTGACCCTCCCCGTTGAGAGTCCGGCGCGCTGAAACCATCGGCACCGCGGAAGCAACCCCCGCACGGTGAACAACCCGACAGCGGGGGCCGCCCAACGAAAGCCAGAAAGCCAGGGCCCCCCCACCCCCCTCGCACCGCGGGGGCCAATCGTCGGGAACGAAAGCCGCGAAGCGGTCCAACGGAGAGGGGGCGAGAACGTATCGCGTCCTGTTTTTCTCTTTTTTTTTTGTGTGCGCGTGTAACGCCGCTTTCCAAACAAAAACAAAACACAAATGCCCTTGCTCGTTGTGACCCGTCCAGTGGAGCTGCGACGGGGCTAAGTGATAGCGACGTTGCGCCGCCGCCACTCCGGGCATCGATTGAACCGATCGACCTTTGTCCCCCACCACCACCCCCTCGAGCTCCATTTTCTTCTATGCATTGGGAACGCACGAAAAACAAAAGCCGGGGGTGCTGGGGGGCTCCCTCCCTCCCCACTCGTCTGCCCGTCGGCTACCAACCGACCGGCCGACCAGCCGGCCCCCGATTTCTCATGTGTGCTCTCGTGCGCTTTACAGTGGCCGTCGGGTTTTTTTGTTTCTTTTGTTTACTCCTCACTGCTCGCGAATTCTGCGCTCCCGAGCGATGGACCAAAAGCGAACTCCGTCGTTTTAGGCGTTTTATTTTCGCAAGCAGGGGAGGGGGGGGAGGAGGAAATAAATAATGCCGCCGCGGGGCATCGACGTTCCGTGAAAATCGAGCGTGCGCGGAGCCAAGCGGCGTTCGCGATTGCGAGCAATGACAATGTTTGACGGCAACTGTACAATTCTACGCTTCATTTGTCTTCCCGTTGTTCTCATCTCTTCTCCCCATTCCTCACGATCCTCCCTCCCTGCTTCCAATCTGATCTCTGGGTGATTCAGGTCCTCCCCCCCCCCCCCCACAACTCAATTCAACCACCTCGTCCTCGCTCGTCAACTCATTCATCCGGCATGCGCCCAAGCTCTTCGGATCTCGGAAGCTAAGCAGGCTTGAGCCTGGATAGTATTTGGATGGGTGACCACCACCAAGGCTTGCCGGGTGTGTTGTAGGCATGGCAAGCTGGGAGGTGAGTGTCCAGACGATGGTCGTTGCTGAGCGTCACTCCCCCCTCTGTGCGGTGTCCTTCTTCAGGTTCGTCAATTTGTGTCCCAGATGCCTTCACGAGTAACGGAATTGGCCCGAACATCCCAATGCAGGACGCCCTCCTGGTGTCCCCCGCAGTTTCCCCTTCTTCTTTTTCTCAAAGACTTCACAGTACGATCCGAGACCGACCATTCTTACCACACGTCCGCCTCCGCGCCTTATATGTAAGGTTTACCGTCAGTGCATCGTGAAATCCAAATTCCTGAATGAGCGCGGTCGCCGGTAACTGTACACGCCGTTGCCTCGAATGAACTGGGCCCCTCGATTTGCACTCACAGGCACCGGTAACAAATTAGCTTTTGGTAAATTATGCTGGGGGGGGGTGTGGGGGGGGTGGGTGGGGGGGGCGCGTTACGTAAGTGAGAGCGCGACGTGATGCATGACGCTGCAGTGGCGGAGCCAGCGGTTCCCTGCGTGTGGCCTCCCACGCAGCCTCGTCGAGTTTGAGAAACGCAACACGCAGACGAAGGCAGTCGTCGGGCTGTCCGGCTTATGGACGTTTTGCCCACCGCTCGCAAGAATTTGTCATCAGCTGTCCCTTTTTGTTTGCTCTTTACGAGTCTGATGCATTTACACCAAACCGCAAAATTTGCCACATTTGCAAATATTTTCCAGATCAGCTTTGTGCCCCTCGACGATGAGTCAACCCACGGCGCGGAACACGTCATGGCCGTGACGCCGTGTCTCTGGTTGCGTGTTTATTTCTAAACATTCAGATATTATCGTCGTTGTCCGTGCGCACAGGGGCATCGCGGGGTCACATTCCTAAAGCGCCAGCTTCTCTCCTCCTCTTGCATAAAGCACCAAGTGCGTGGAGTATTCTAAATGTAATTTTTTTTATACATATATACTTTTAGCGCACGCGATGCGATATTCTGGGAGGCGGCGGCAGCAGCAGCGAGGGGTATCGTGAGCCGCCGCTCGGTTGCCACCGCGGCGTTGAGGGCACTTCGCCCTCCGAGGAGCACCAAGTCGGCGTTGTCACCGACGTCGACCTGAAACGCGCCCGGGTCCCGTGAAGCCCAAGAAGCTAAGAGCCAGGGCCGAGCCTGCGGAGATGCAGAGAGTTGCGTGGACGCGCGGCCACCGATGACCGTGCAGGTCGGTCGCAGGGCCTGCACAGGAGCTACGTGTGGGAAGCATATACTAGGAAATAAAATAATACAAATAAAACATAATAAAATAATTCTCACAAAGTTTCGGCCACAACGCAAGCAGCCGTCCTCAGGTGAAGACCAGGTCTGTCGGGGAGACAGCGTCTGTATGTGTGTAAGCATGTTGAACTTATTTCCATTCTACGTGACTTTACCGAAAGAACCAAGAAGATGAATCCCTGCAGTCACGAAAGCTTTAAATCGAAATTTAAGCATATACTACTAAAACTAAAAAGTGTTTTTCTTTTACCAGGTAAGGCCCACTTAAATGCGTAGCTCTTTTTCGGATGAGACCTGGCCACAAACGATAGCTCGACGAAGCGGCTTATCGCGTAGAAATGTATGGCAGCCAAACAGCCTCGACGCACACGTTGATTCTAAACGTGGAGGGAAAAAAAACTGGAGGACTCGGATAAAAATCCACGTGACCATGGGGTAGAACGAGCAAACTTCAAGTGTACATTGTTGTACTGTACTTCTGCGCCACTATGTTTATGCTACCCGCCGTCACCAGAACCGCACTCACTCGCGTGGCAGAGGCCGGTCAAATAACTCTCACGACCAGTGTTGACACGAGGGCTTAACTTGTCGGCAGCACACGGCACACGCAACCTCCACAGAGTCAATCGCTGAACAGATCTCAGCTTCATCCTCACAGCGGCTTTTGTGGCTAGCCATCGAACAAAGACGGTCACTGCATCGCGCGCTTTCAAATGTGCTTGTGCGGTCGTCTGGAATGCTCTTCCTTACGATATTAGGAAGCCGCTGGAGGCTATGCACTTTTACATCTAGATTGAAAACTAATTTTTCGAGAACTTTTACATCCAGATTGAAAACTAATTTCTCGAGAACTTTTACATCTAGATTAAAAACTAATTTCTCGAACTGCTTTTTGCATTTCATTTGTTGTCCTTCACCCCGCACCCTCGATGAGCACGGCTGGCTACGTACGCTGCGAAAGAAGTTCAACATGCTTACACACATACTGCCCGTAGATTCATTACTGCCCATAGACTCAACACTGCCCATTGACTAACACTGCCCATAGACTCAACACTACCCATAGACTCAACACTGCCCATAGACTCAACACTGCCCATTGACTCAACACTGCACCTCCGATTATCACGGATGGCCACGTACGGCGAGAAAAAAGTTCAACATATGTTTTGTGCATACACAAAAAACACAAAGAAAAATATCCCCCGTATAGCCTGTAACAGATTGTTGGAGCAAGTGCTGTTAGCGAGCACCTATGAAGGCCAGCACGGCACACGAGGGGGTGGGTGGCCAGCACCACGCCCGGCTGCCTTTGTCTCCCTAGTGTCGATTCTCACACATCGCACCACGTACTCATTTTA